GATGAGGTTTTCAATTATTATCATTCAAGTGTAAAGACCACAATTAAAAGGATTTTTAGGGGTTTGGAAAAATATATTTGGAATCTTGTGACACATGCCTATTTATCTATTTGTGATGCAAGTTCGTATAGTTGGTGCAATAATGGCTATACATAATTTTATTAAAAGAAAATCTATGACTGATTCTAGCTTTAGGCATTTTAAGGATGAAAATATGGTTAATACTAATGATAATAATGATAAGTATGCATTTTTATCATCAGTTCCAAATGTAATTTCAAACATGGCTTCTAATAGAGAAATGAATAAGGTTCGAGATTCTATTAAAGATTAAATTGTATATTATAGATTGAACGGTTAATTATATAACTATTCAATATTAATGAATATTTAACTATTTATTACATAATTTTTTCCAATATTAAATTTGATGTTGTTTTAAATTCGTTTCACATTTTTTAAATATTTCTAATATATTATATTTGTACAATAAAAAATATAAATTATCATAAATTAATGTCTTTTCTAGTCATTGCATATTTAAAAGTATATTTCAAAAGAAAATTTTTTTATTAATTCAAATAACTTTCATTCTGCCAAACTAACTGTTAAAAAAATATATTCAAACACAAATTTTGTTATAATAATTGACTTTCACTAAACTAACTTTAAACAAACTGAAAACCAAATAAACACAAAGTCACCCACTCAATGCCCATTTGATAAAACACCACTGTTTCATTTATTATCTGATGGATATTGACTCTTTACTAATCAAAAGAGAATGATACTTCTATTACAAAATAATGGTCCATGTGATCCTATTTAAGTCACATTATTAAATTTTTATTATGATTTTTCTCTTTTACCTATTAGATGATAGAGAGAAAAAGAATGTTGGTAAAACATGTATATTTAATAGGGAAAAAATGAGAAATTATTAAATTGTTAGACAAAACTAATAATTTTTAAAATTGTTCTTTATTTTGATAAAATGTGGTAGAAGTAATTTATAAATATAATTAGAAGAGTATATTTTATGTTGAGTCAAGAACACTTGGCCATTTTTATTTTGGTGTGCTTTTTGCAATTTGTTTAAATTAATTAAAAATAATGCTTAGTATACTTTAAGAAGTAAAAGACAACATATGTGTTAAAAACTGCATAACTAAAATTCTCCCTCAAATGGCTCTATATTTGGATTTGTCCCTGTATGAGTTGATAAATAATGCAGTTTTTAATAAATTTTATAATACTGTACATATACATTGATGTTGACTTGATAATAGAATGTCCATTGAAAAATTTAAATATAATTCACGTGGTTAAGACACGCTTTCAAGATTACAGTTAAAAGTTTTTTTTAGACTATACTGTTCAAGACAAAAAAAAAAAGTAAACGTGCCTTTTTATTTTTAAAATATTTTTGAAAAACACGTGGCACCCAAAATTATTTAGTATAAGATTTTTGTTTTTAAAATAATTAAAACGTAATATTATCTACCCAACATTAAATAATAAACATTAATTGTTAATGTGACGTGAGAGAAAATAATTTAACTAGTAATAAATATTTGTGAGTATTTCAAGTTAAGGTGAAGAACGTTGCATTTTAATTATTTTAACAATGAGAATGCTATGCCAGATAATTTAAAGTGTTGGGTGTTTATTTTTTAAAGCCAAAGGTCACCCTCAGAATCAACGCATGAGTTATGCATGACAAGTTACAGAGGGTTCATGTGGTACTTTTATAGGTTTTATGAAGGAGAATTTTAAATAAAAATCAAAGATGTCACTTAATTATTAATGGATCATAATTTTTTTGAAATTTTAATTTAATTTAAGAGGTTAAAAGTAAACATAATTTCAACAATAAAAAGACTAAAATACCATTTATTTATTATGTAAAATCACTATTGTTAATTTTTCTATTTCACTTGTTAATTTGTTGATATCACTTAAAATTATATTTGTTTGCCAGATAAATAATAACATTAGTTGTTAATTTACTAATTTTACTTGTTAATTTACTAATATCAACTATAAATTATTAGATTTGTTAGTAATTTACAATTCATTAGTAAATTATAAGACCTATCAGTAATTTATAACTGATGTTAGTAAATTAACAAGTAAAGTTAGCAATTTAATAATAAATATTGCTGTTTATGATTAAATAAATGATGTCAAGTCTTATATAATTATTGACATGTCAACTCATATAATTTGTAACTCATATTAGTAAAGTGATAAATAAAATAAAAAAATTAATAATTAATGATTATATATAACAAGTGAATGATATTTTGATCTTTTTAAAGTTAAAATTATTTTTACTTTTATTTTCTTAAATTGAACTAAAGTTTTAAAATTTTTTGAGACATACTAATAATTAAGTCACATTTCTTATCTTTATTTAAAATTCTCTCTTTTATTAATTAATCAACGAAGCTGTGCACTATACACTTTTTTTAAATTATAATGTGCAAATAAAAAGATCGTGCACGCATATAGATTGTACGTAAAACAATCATACTCATAAAAAAATGGAGGTCCTAAAAGGAAATCTATATATCCAAAAGAAAATCACGCAGCATTGAGGAAATGACACAATTTGTTTGGGCCCTGTCCGTCAAGTCAAAATAAGCCCATCCTCGTGACGCGACGGGAACGGGGGACGTTGCGTGGGTAGACTCGGACATTTCCACGTGCCTTTCTTGCCCTTCTTAAAGCATTCTTTTTCTTTTTCTTTTTTTCTTACCCTTTTGATTAGTTTCTAGAGAACCATAGAAATTTACAAATAAGGCATAATGTATTTTGATTTATGTTGAAAGCTCAAGAGTTTTAAATGAAAATATATTCTAGCATAAAAATACTCACATGCCCGTCCTAAAACCATCCAATGTTCAACTGTTTTTTTCCCTCCTCTTCTCTTCCTTCTCTCTCCTCTTCTTCTTCACATTCCTTTTCATTCTCTTATTGCCTTTCTTCTCTCCCTCCTCTTCCCTAGATCCCATTCTACATGCACAATTTGTCTAGTAACAAGGCAACAACAAGCGAGCTAAAGCCACAAAAAAAGGACAAGATTTATTGATTACGTGGCAACAATGTTTATGACTATTTAGTCATTCATTTAACTCTATTTTTTTTCACATCCTTGATATTGATTTGTTTCCACAAGTAAAGATGCAGTAAAATAAGCAATTAAGTTCGTATAAACTTCAATTGATAAAGCCATATACCTTAATTAGCTTTGATGCAAAAAGCCCTGAAAGGAGTTTATTTGTCTTTTATTTAGATACATATTTTGAGTAAGAGTTGAAATTCAAGTTAACTTAATTCTTTCTTGCAATAAGATTGCTAATAACTGTCAAAAAATTTTTAAAAATCAGAACTTGTTATAATTGGGTTGTAAATATTTAAAGTCAATAATTACTTATTTTTAATTGTTAATAGTTAGATCTATATATGTGAATATTCAAACACTTAGTTATACATATATGTGAACTTTGGCAATGTGCTAGGTCTAAATCTTTGCCGGTCAATATATAGACTTTTATTTGTAGATATTTGAACATATATCTGTGAATATTAAGACAATTTTTTAAAAAAATTTAAGCTTTACTTATTTGCTTAAGAGCATAAAATGGTTTAGGTGTGACATTTTGTAATGACTGTTAGAATGTCCTAATAATGTTAAAGCTCAAAGTATTCCTACATGGAAAGAAAAAAAAGGATGAAGCATCAAAATATAATTAATATTTCTGTAGGATTATGTGTGTGCTGTCTCAATTTAGTTTTTTTGTAAATGGGTATATAACATATATTATGGTGTATATTTGGAGAACACTTACTCTAGTATAAATGAAATTATTTGTACAAAATTCTCAAGTTTATAAATAATAAAAAGTTTGTGTGTGTGCATGTATTAGCAAAAAAATGTATATACGAGATAAATAAATTGTTATACATTAATAAAAAAAATAATATGAATATTATATTTGAGAAAAGATGAGATGTCTTGAAAATAGTCTTATGTCTCATTTTAAACTATTTTTTTTCCCCATCCCTTAAAGTTTCATTTCATTTTTCTTTTGAGTTAGGATAAACTTGTCCAACATGATTGAAATAGTATGAGCCAATCAAGATGGGACAAGCATGAATGCCCCTAATATCATCAAGCCATCCATTCCACGATCCACGTGTATAAGTGGAAGAAACTGCATATATGAACAAGTTCAAGAGAACATCATCATCCTTTGCCATTCACGCTCCAACACTTTTTTGTAAAAAATATTTCTGGGTTCACATTTACATTTGATATTTGGTTTTGAATCTTGGTATCAAAGTCTCTGTCGATGCTCTTGCTGATTTTGCTGAGGGCTGCAACAGTAGAGGAAGAAATGCTAGAAATGAGTGTAATCGTGGGGAGGGAGGGAGGGAGGGAGAAAAAGTTTCCAAAGGGCATTATGGTCTTTCTATTTAAATCGATACAAATCAAAGAAAGAATACATCTATTCATATTTTCTATGCATACACTTGCATTTAAAAAAAAGTGTCCAGATATTGCTTTAAAAATTGTATCTAGATATAAATTTTGGGCAATATCTAATTTTATTAAACTCACTTTTGATCCATGAGAAGTATTTGTTCGGGAAAAATGATGAGAATAAAATGAATTAAAGAAATAAAAATAGAAATAAAATGATTCACCCTTTCCTATGATAATTATGATAAAATGATAAAACCCAATGCTAAATTTTTGAATTATAAATCTAGATCTCATGAATTAAGTTATTTTTTTTTATATATGGAATTGACCTATCTTCTCAACATATTTTAAACATTTTGACTAAACGGTGCTTAACCTTTTGATAAAACGAAACACGTACTAAACGAATAAATCAACGAAAAAACGGCTATGATTGTTTCTCAAGTAAGGCATCAATGTAGGCACTAGCACTAAATCACTGTCCCGGAAAAGCTGGACCCCACCCAACCCCAACTCTGCTTCCGCCCCAGCTTGCAAAATCCCTCGCCTCGCACCTTCCTGCTAAAATATTTTCACGGAAGTTCTTTTCAAGAAATCGCCCAGACTCATGCAAGGAAACTGTGACTTAATTCTATATTCCATCATTACACGAGCTCGCCAATTGCGTTGAATCCTTTCCACTACCTGTTTGAATAATTCTTAATTCCTTTTTCGTACCTTCTGTTCTTATTTCTCATTCTCCTTGTTGGCTAGCCTCGCTCGGGCACTTTTGCTGGCACCATGAACTGAAGAAATAGATCGAGTCTCTGTAATTCTGAGGACCTTACAGAGCATGGGGGCCTCGCTATCCAGCCTTGGGACGAATGGCTCGACCATTGGTCCGGGCCTTGGGGACATCCCGGAGAGCTGCGTGGCTTGCGTTTTCTTATATTTGACTCCGCCGGAAATATGCAATTTGGCGCGGCTCAATCGAGCTTTCCGCGGTGCGGCGTCCTCTGATGCAGTGTGGGAAACAAAGTTGCCCTCGAATTACCAAGATCTGCTCAATTTAATGCCTCCCGAGAGGTACCAGAATTTGTCCAAGAAGGATATATTTGCTCTGCTATCTCGACCAATACCATTTGATGATGGCAATAAGGTGGGTGTTCTTCAGGTTGGTTTTTATTGATTATAGTTATGCACTTCCTTTCTAATAATCTGAGGTTAGGGTTCTTCTGGAATTCTGTTTCTATAAAGGGTGTGTCGGATTCTTGCAATTATCGGAATGTATTTGGTTGGGAGTTTGGGGCAGTTTTCTTTCGAGTTTGGATAGATTGGGAGTCTGAATTTGAAACATTTAATCTTTGTATTGAGTATTCTGTTAAGATAATGCAAGAGGGTTTTACAGGAAGTATGGCTGGACAAGGTGACGGGAAGGGTTTGCATGTCCATATCGGCAAAAGCCATGGCGATTACTGGAATTGATGATCGGAGATACTGGAATTGGATTTCTACTGAGGAATCTAGGTTAGACTTCAGAAATCTCTGAGTCTTAGTACTTGATCATATGCTTCAGATGGATATGATATGATCTCCATCAATGAATACAGAGATCGTTTCTTCATCTGTCTCTTCAATTCTTTAAATCTACATTTTGCCAGTGATTCTAAAAATGATTTGCTTCAGAGGTACATAGCGTGCTTCTTTTGTTGTTTGATGCTTTTCATGCCTCTTGATCAAACATGTGCTGCAGATCACCTGGGTAGAACTTTGGAGTGCTGAACTTGAATTGTAGGTTAGAACACCAGATTTTGAGGTTAGACCAGGGTGAATATGTAGGTTCAGTCCAGGTGATTGGTGAATGTGCATGACAATGCATGGACCTCATGCTCTCATTCTTATTTAAAAGTGAAGGCTTAATATTATTATTTTTGCTTTCCAATTTATTCCTTGATTATTAGGGCTGTATTACAACAGAGGATTAGTTGAATTTAATGGAAGAGATTGTCTTCTAATAATTGGTTCCAGATATTACTAGACTTGCAGCTCACTCTGTAAAAGTTGCTTCTATTTATTTGGTCTGGAGTCCCTCAAGATTCAGTGCAAGTACTTAATGGTTTAAGTCATTGCAAATTGCTTGTATATTCTTGTGACTGTTTTACTGTTGTTTGATTATTTTTCCTTCTATGGTTTATTTGCTTTATACTTGGCTTTTTGGGAAACTAGGACAGTAAAAAATAGTGCTTTTTAATTGCCATATGAATAAGTCCATGGTTTCGAATTAATTAGGTTCCAGCTTTATTTTTGTTTGTTACTGTGGTTAGACCTAATATTTAATGTAAATATTTCAGGAGAGTATATCGGGTAGTTAATTAGATAATATTATAGGATATTTCATTCTTATTCGATCTCCATGATTTTTGGAGATTTGATCAATCTCTTGTTTGTAGATCCATGTAAATGCCTCTCGAGCAATATGCGGAAGTTTCCATAGCCTAATTGCTACATGGTTTCAGAGCATGGCTACTCACTTTTGACCCCTTATCATTCTGACTCAGAAAGTATCGAGCATGACTTGAACCCTAATCACACTTCCTTAATGTCGAAGAGTGATGGTTCCTTGAAAATTGATCCGAGCAGGGCAGATGGTCCCCTTGGGTCAACTACAGCCACAAAGGATCATCGGTGCATGTTGTCATTGTCAAGCTCAATGGAGCGAACTACCGTATGTGGGCTCATGCAATAAAACTTGCAACTGGAGGAAGTGGGAAGATGGGCTATATTGATGGCTCATCGAAAATCCTAGAGGAATTCAAGATGTAGGAGATTTAGTAATGGCGCATTGGCATCATCGTGGCTGATAAACATGATGGTTCTAGAGATCCAGCAAAGCTTTATGTTTCTTTCCTCAGCTCATGACTTTTTTTTTTTTTTTGAATAACAGAGGATTACAAAGAAACACTAGGTTCCAAGCAGTTTATCCCATAGATGTAGAACTTGCCCTATCATCATTCACCGCCTTACAAGAGTAAGGTGGGGGATGATTATAGATAATCCAACCTAGACTATTGCTAGCATTAGCGGTCAAAATACAGGCATAACAATTTGCCTCATGATGCATAAGGTTAACAAAAACATCCTAATTCCTACACAAAAGTGATCAAACTTGATTCACAACATCTCTCTATGGGTGTTGATCATAATTACTACGAAAGATAAGGTTGATAGCATTTGCGTAGTCAGTAAAGACTCATATCTTTCAATACCCCTTGATCCAGTAAAGTTGTAAACCATGTACAATTCCAAGAATCTCAGTAATTGTTACTAGGAAATTTCCCACACAAGCATTAAATCCCATAATCCAGCTAGCACTACTATCCCGTATAACTCCTCCACACCCGTATAACTCCTCCACATTTGGCGATACCATCCTTCGGTGATCCATCAACATCAAGATGAACAGCATTAAATTATGCTCTAGTCCAATGCTCTATATGAGAATGATGCCACCTTCCTAGATTATAAGGGCTTCGGATCAGATTCAGATTTGCTTTAGCTTTATGCAATGTAGCCAAACCAGAGCCAGTCTTATCCAACCCCTCCTTTGAGAAAGCAAGCTTACAACAATCACACCAAATATCCCAACAAGTATAGCCAAACAAAACATCCTAAGGTACTTGGTTAGTAAATTCTCTTCCAGCTTCTTTCTTAAAGTTTCAGGTGATCCATTCATCTTTGTTTATCTGTTTAAACTGGTTCCAAAGCTCCAGTTTGATCAGTATCTTCCATCTTTCTTCAGCATGGGGACAATCTCTCAAGAGATGTAGCACATCTTCAATTCTATTGCATCCTAATGGGCAGACAACAGATGGTAAAATCCCAATTGTATCTTAGTTCCGATGTGTGCAGTCTGTCGTTTGCCATTAGCTCATGAAATTTGGAAGGTTGTATGAGATTCATATTCTGATGGGAAGGATCTGGCATGATTGTATGAGCTTAAAACAAAGGCTTGGTGTTATTGCCTTTTGGTCAGAGTTAATGACCATATAGCAAGAACTGGATTTAATGATGGAAGTGGAGTGGTCTAGTAGTAGAGATGCTACTTGCTATAAGGAGTAAATTGAAGGCAAATGCATGTTTCAATTTCTCACTGGACTCCATCAATCTCTGGATGATGTGTGGGGATGAATCCTGAGTTGTATACCACTTCCATCAACTAGGGAAGTATTTTTTAAGGTACGTCATGAAGCTTCTAGACACAAGGTAATGCTTCCTGGAACTATTTCTACTCCATCCCCTTCTCTAGACTTTGCTGCACTTGTCAGCAAGAGTGGTGATGATACTAATTAAAAAAGGCCAGAAAGGGAAGGTTACCTGTGACCATTGCAAAAAGACTGGGCACACTCGTGACACTTGTTGAGACATTTACGGTAAGCCAGCTGACTGGAAGTCAAAAAAAGGAAAGGCTTGAGGGTACCGAATTGATAACGAGGAACTAGGTAAGTTACTTGGGATGCTCAATGTGCTTCAAAACAGTAACCAAAATCAGAAGTCAAATCATATTGCTTCTTTGGCTCACAAAGGTAATTGTGCCATACTCACCACTAATAATTTCAAATGGATTTTTGATACTAGGGCAACAGATCATATGACTTTTGATTCAACATTGTGCAATACATATTTTCCTAGTGCTGGGAATGACAAAATTAGTACATCAAATGGAACTTCGTCCTCAATAGTAGGAACAGGAAGTGTGGTTATTTCCGAAGATATGAAATTAGAACATGTGTTACATGTTCCTTATTTAGCTTGCGGTTTGTTGTCTATTAGTAAGCTAACCAAACAAGCAAATTGTTTGGTTCATTTTTGTTCCACTCATTGTATTTTTGAGGGCCTCTTATTGGTCTTTACTACCTCGGCGAATCAACCGTGAGTAATCTGTGGTCTCGAATTTGGTGCAATGTTGCATCTACCTTTGAGAATAAAGACTTTAAAGATATTATGTTATGGCATAGGAGAATGGGTCATCCAAACTTTCAATATTTATATTGCTTGTTTTCTGAGTTTCAATCTAATAAAATTTCTTCCTTTCATTGTACTGATTGTGAACTTGCTAAACATCAAAGATCAAGTTTCAAACTTGTTAAGTATAAGTCTACCTGACCGTTTTGAATTATTTATAGTGATTTGTGGGGTCTTACTCCTATTCCTAATCGCACAAATACAAAATGGTTCATCGCCTTTATAGACAGACGATCATACCAGAATGTGTTGGGTTTACCTGTTGCACAATAAAACCTCTATCCATCTATTTTAACTGAATTCTATACAATGATAAAAAATCAATTTAACACTATGATTCAAGTATTACGTACTGATATTGGCATCAAATATTTCAATAAATCCATGGATTTGTTTCATAAAGAAGATGGTATTGTCCTAACACTCCAACAAAATGGCATTGTGGAAAGATAAAACAAACACTTGTTAGAAGCTGCCCATGCCTTACTTTTTACCTACAATGTTTCCTAATACTTCTGGGGGGATGCAATCCTTACTACAACTTATTTGATAAATCGCATGCCTAGCTGGGTTCTCTCCTATACTACATCACTTGAAAAATTGAGAGAATCTTACTCCATCACTCATCTTGACTTTAACTTGCCCCTTAAAATTTTTTGTTACACCACCTATGCTTATGCTCACTCATCCCACAAATTGGACCCCAAAGCTGTTCCTAGTATTTTTCTGGGATATTTCTCGACTCAAAAAGGGTATAAATGCTTTGACCCTAATTCTAAACAACTATACATCAGTCGTGATGTTACCTTTGTTGAGAATGTCCCATTGTACCCAAAAATTTCAACTTAGGGGGAGAGGGGGAGTGACTTTCAGCTTGAGTGAAATTCCATAGCTGCTTCCAGCACCTGAAAAACCACCTTCAGCACATGAAAAACCTCAAAATCATCCTACTGACCTTAAATCTCTTGTCCAGCAAACCACTGAATCCAGGATTCATTCTCTCAGGCCAGAAAGTAACCAAAATAAAGAAGGCTCTTAGAAAGGAGTTCAAGGTAAAGGATCTTGGCAACTTGAAATAATTTGTGGGCATGGAGGTTGCAAGATCACAACATGGAATCTATGTGTCCCTAAGGAAGTATATTCTTGACTAGTTAACTGAAACAGGCATGCTAGGGTGTAAACTTGTAGAAAAACCCATTGTCCTGAAGAAGAAAAAGGATTAGAAGAAAGACAAGGAATCAGAAGAAGAGGAACTTGAGGATGAAGAAGAAAGTGAGAAAAACGAACCCGTAGAAAAAGAAAGATACCGGGGATTATTAGGAAAATTAATCTATCTCTCTCACACTGGGCTAAATGTAGCCTTTTCTATGGGTGTGGCAAGCCAATTTATGTGTGATCCTAGAAGGAGGCATATGGAAGCTGAATATATAATTTTGAGGTACCTAAAGGGCACACCTAGTACAAGGTTGTTATTCAAGAAACAAAACTGATGGCCTATGGAAATCTATACAAATGTAGATTGGGGGGAACCTACCAGGATAGAAGGTCAACATCAGGATATTGCTCATTTGTGTCGGGGAACCTGGTCACTTGGAAGAGTTAAAAAGAGAGAGTAGCCTTAAAGAGCAGTGTGGAATTGGAATTGAGGTCACTGGCTTAGGGCATCACAAAAGCACTATGGATAAGGCGTGTTATAGATAAAATACATTTCAGAATTGACCCTCGATTAGAGCTCTACTATGATAGCAAAGCTGCAATTAGTATGGCACTGAATCCATTTCAACATGAAAGATCCAAGGATGTGGAAATAGATAGACACTTCATAAGGAAAACAGTTGAAGAAGAGATTGTATGTCTCATCTATCCGCCAACTAGACTTCAAGCTGGTAGCATGCTAACCAAGGGTTTACATAAATTGGCATTTGATAGTTGTATAAGCAAATTGGATATGATTGGCATCTATACTCCAATTTGAGGGGGAGTGTGGTTAGACCTACTATTTAATGTAAATATTTGTTGTAAATGTTTCAGAAGAGTATATCAGGTAGTTAATTAGATAACACTATAGGATATTTGATTCTGATTCTGATTCAATCTCCATGATTTTCGGAGATTTGATTAATCTCTCATGTATACATCCATGTAAATGCCTCTCAATCAATATACGGAAGTTTCAATAGCCTAATTGCTACAGTTACCATCTGGTGACATTAAAATTTCTGATGTTTAATGGTCTGGCAATTTTGAATCCCCTTTTAGAAAAAGCAAAATAATTAAACTGTTTTTGGCTCTTAACTACCAGTGTTAACTTGTTGAGGTGGTTCTTCGGCTCAACTTTGAGATCAAATGTGCTGAAAATGACCTTGAGCAGTTCCTAGAACTGCTGAATTGAAATTGGCTTGCCATTCTCTTGGAGCAGTTCGCAGCAATCTCCCTCTTTTTATTGCCTCGTGCTCTTTAATTTGGCCATAAGTTAATGTAAAGCTTATTGAAATTAATTAGACTCTGTGGCAATTCTGTAACTATGTAATTCTGCCTTCTGTGAACGTATACTTGACTGAATCCTGACATACTTTTTTTAATCAAAACTAAGCTATTCTTGCTACAATCTCTGCTTCTTCTTTTTTGGGCCAACCTTATTCTTCAAATATTAAAGCTACTTTATTGCTCAAAATCAAAAGAGAAGATACCCATGGCATTGTCATGATCCAATGCACACATTCATACTTCTCTGCTTAGACTTACGTATCTTGATCTGGATGATGATAAACTATTTTCCTTTTTTTTGGTTAATTTTATTTTGAAGTAAGACGGAATATTTATATTGTAAATTTGGTAAAGGACTGTTCGACAATAATTTGGAAGTGAAATTGGGAGATTAAATTATACCTCAAGTAGAAATGTTTAGATATTTGGGAGCCATTATTCAAAATGATGGCGAAATCAGTGGAGATATTTCACATAGAATTTAAGCTGGGTGGTTTAATTGGAGAAAAGCTAAAGGAGTTATTTGTGATCGTAAGGTGCCTAATAAATTTAAAGGAAAGTTTTATCGCACTGCTATCAGACCGGCAATGTTATATAGTAGTGAACGCTGGGTTCTAACGGGACAGCAAGAGCATAAAGTTGGAGTAGCAGAGATGAGAATGTTACGATGGATGTGCGGACATACACGTAAAGATAAAATTCGAAATGAGCACATACGCGAAAAAGTGAGGGTGGCACCTATTGAGGAAAAAATGGTAGAAAATCGGTTGAGATGGTTTGAGCATGTACAACGAAGACCAAGGGAGGCACCAATGAGAAGAGTGGAATATATAACTTTGAGTCCGATTAAGAGAGGTAGAGGAAGGCCTAAGAGAACACTCTTGGAAGTTGTTGAACGCGATCTCTTAATTAATAATATTCCTAAAAGCTTGACAAACGATAGAACACAATGACGTGTTGCAATCCATGTAGCCGACCCCACCTAGTGGGATAAAGGCTTGTTGTTGTTGTTGTTGTTGTTGTTGGTTAATTTTATTTTAGCTTTCCATGACTTAGAATATATATTTTTTTTCAATATGTATTCAGGTTGATCTAATTTTAATAGGCTGACCTGATTTTGTGACCAGAAATTAAACTGATTCGTGAAATTCTCAATCAAGTTAAATAAAACCATCCAAGCTGATGTACCTATGTTTACTGTTTTCAATATAGATTAGTTTATGTACCCCTGTAAGTTCCACGTCACGATATACTTTAACTAATTATTCAACTTTCTGCTTATATGATATTTGTGCTGTTTTTATTTTTTTTCAAATTGTAGGATTCCTAACAGATTTAGGCTTTGAGGTTATTTAATTTCGCCGTTGTATTATGCCAGCATTACGTTACTTTCCTATTTCTACTTTCTTTTACTGCTTATTGTTACTTTCTTAGAAATAGTGTTTTACATGCTTTATACTTATTATCTTCAGGTTTCATACTGTGGCTTATTTGCTACAAATTTGGTGGTTTGAAGTTGATGGAGAGGTGAAATTTCCTTTTGCTGCCGATACTTACACTCTCTTCTTTAGGCTCCACCTTGGACGATTTTCCAAAAGGCTTGGCCGGCGTGTGTGCTATTATGAACACACGCATGGTTGGGATATAAAACCAGTGAGATTTGAGTTATCTACTTCAGATGATCAGCAAGCATCATTTGAGTGCTGTTTAGATGAAACTGAGCGAGATGATGCTTATGGTAACCATAAGCGTGGAAACTGGGTTGATTACAAGGTAGGGGAATTTAACGTCAGCGGATCGGAGCATATAACAGAAGTTAGATTCTCTATGAAACAGATCGATTGTACACATTCCAAAGGTGGGCTTTGTGTAGATTCTGTATTCATTATACCCAGTGATTTGAAATGGCGGAAGACAAGAGGCGTTTTGAAGTAGCCACAAGCAGAGTAGGAAGTTTTTTGTTTTTTAGTGTGGTCAGACATCTCATAATACTCTCTTGGAATCCACCATACAGCATATACTTCCGAGGAAAATTAAGAATGAGGATCGAGGAGGATGCCATCTTTTGCGGGGTTTTTTTGGCAGTTGGTATATCTCCTCTCTGGTCATGTAATAATTTTCTGTTTTCTAGTTGTTTCTATGGTCTATACATATGTTAGATAAAAAAAAAAAAAAAAAGAGGGGCTGGAATTTGCTATCATTATCTTGCTTGCTCCAGTTGCCCTCCCTGTAATTTCTTTTGTAACTTGTGGCATAGGAATAGAATTTTACTCAGACATTTTGTATAACTTCTACCTTGGCTCTATCCCATGACATTCGGGTTTGATGCTAGATATGCATAAATCCTCATGCGTTCAAGTTTTTTTTGAGTGAAAAATGAATTTCATTCAAAGGAGTGAACTGTACAACAAAAGCCTAGTAGCAAAGGACAGCACAAACAAGAGGCAAGTTTAAATTTAAGAGAATTACATTTAAGGCTTTATGAGAATTTATCGCAATAAAGATTCATCGATAAAGTCTTATGAGAATTTATCACATTGATAAGGCTTTATGAGAATTTATTGCAACAAGGAGAATTACATACATATTATTAGAAGTTGAAATTTAACTTATATTTTTTATTAGAGTCTTTTGAGAAATTTAACAAATTAAATTTTAACTTTTAACATGTATGTACTTTCATAAAACAATATTTAATGCAAAATTAATTGGTTTCATTGTAATAAATTTTTTTCAGAATATATGAAATGTCATTTTCCCTTTAATTTTTTTTTTTTCCTTTGCTAAGCAAGATGTTCGAACCTTAGTGATTTTTTTTTCCCGAAGAAATTCATTACTCAAAACAAGTCAGGGCAAAAGCTCAGTACAAAACTCAGCCAATGCCAGCAAACCGTTGTGATTTATGGCCGAAAAAGGAAAAGAAAAGGAGCTTTGCAATTACGAGGGGTAAAATGATTCGAGGTTATGTGGAAGTGCTTTCAAGAGTAGATTCACTTCTGTTTTGGTTCTGCTCCTCTATCCATCCTCATTGTTTGTTATAAATGTATCTAACAGTTTTCTTGAAGAAGCCGTGTCAGTAGAAGTAGAATCCTGGGCATGAGAAAACCAAAGCCAAGTGACTAATAGGGAATAGGATGTAGTTTGCTTGTGGTATTTCGGCAGGGAATAGGATCTTGTAGTTCTTTGATTCTCAAATTCCACCCTCAAGTTAAAAACATCGTACAGTTTCATCCTTTCATATTTACTAATCGTTTCAGAACCAGCCATCCTGATGTCAGTGCCCGTCACTAGAGTAAATACAACCTTCCCATGTCTCACTTCCTTCCTTTACATTTATGGCTCCTTGCCAACCTAACCAGAAAATCACAACTGATTTTTTTTTTTTTTTTTTTTGCTTTCTAGTAGTTCACGTCGATACTTTCTCTAACTTTTAATTTTATTCAAACAATTGCATACATTCTTTTTAATACATTATATAAATTTTAAAATTTTAATTACATTATTCATAATTTATAAATATTTTTTTGGCCAAAAAAATAATTTATAAATATTTTGACTTCTCTGCATTTTATTTGCTATCTTAATAGATTATTGATACTTGTTGCTAAAACTAGGGGTGTAAATGGGCGAGTACGGACCACCCGTGACTGTACCCGTCACCCGCCCATTTATGAGTAAACGGGTGGCCACTCGCCCGTACCTGCTTATGCCCGTTTGAACCCATTTTTAAACAGGTGCAAACGGGTCTGGGCCACCCGTTTACCCACAACACCCATTTTCTTTATAAAAAAAAGGAATCAAAATATATAATTTTCATTCCACTAGAACTTGACATAAGTACTCAAGTAGCATCATTTTAAAAGTTTAAATCTCTGAATAATACAAGGACAAATATTTTAACAACAAATACTAAATAAACAAGGATCAATAATTCTAATTTTTAAAGTGAAAACCCAGTCTCATCAATCCTCATTTATCTTCTTCGAAATCACTTGATACAGCAGAAGATTGAGCTATTGACTCTTCCTCTACAAGACAAATTAAAACAATTAGATTAGTAAGTAATAATATATATTATATAATATGGAGAATTAAAATGAATATAATTAAAATAACTTATTCATATTATTATTACCATCAACAGCACGTAAAATCTCATCAAAATAGTCAATATCAATCTCTCCCAATGGGGTGCATGATGTTGATGATAGACAATTCTGCATGCAAATGAGTGCCTCGGCCATTTTTGAAGATAATGAACTCCTGAAAGTATCTAGTACTCGATCCCCAGTACTAAAAGCAGGTTTCGAAGACACTGTGGAGACAGGCATAGCTAACAAATCACGTGCAATCAAACCCAAAACTTTATACTTGGAAGAATTCACTTTCCACCATGCCAAAATATCAAAACTATCATCACAAGCATCAACTAACTCTGCATTTAGGTACTCTTCCACCTCTGAAATTGGTTTCTTTAGACGTTTACTCATTGCAGTGACTAAGAAATTTTGCATTGCCACATCAATAATTTTTTTAGAAGATAGAGGAACTTGCTTTCCTCCACCACTGGCACTACTATCCCCCATCTCTATACCAGTTTTAGATGGTTCACTACCACTGGCCGTAAGAGTTGCAGAGTACTCATCAAACAAGCGATGCAAAAACCCTATAATCTGCTTTTTCATCATTTCCCTCTTCGTGTAATCACCAATAAAATGTTTAAAAGCAACTTCAACATAAGAAAATTTGTATCTAGGATCAAGAATCACAGCTATTACCAATAATGGATTCATGTTTTCTGCCTTTCCCCAGTACTTGTCATACTTACTTTGCATCCTTTCTGCCATGTCACTCAACAAAGAATTAGATTCAATTGTAATTAAATCCAATCGTGTCTTGATTGCAACTATATTTTGAAAACAAGTGTTTGATGTGACATAATTTAATCCAAAAAATTGAAGAGTCATAGTATAAAACAACTCCAAAAAGGTAAGAAATTCCTTTGCCACACTCCAATCATAAGCATTAGGAGGTTTAACTGTACCTTCATCACCATCATGATCACCAAGCTCATCTTCATCCTCCTCTTCCATCCTATCAATAAAGCTTGAGCTAGAAGATAGTTTAACTTTCTTTTTGAAGTAGTTCTTGTAATCTTGATCCTCATCCTCCATTCTATCAAAGACCTTAGTAAACTTAACGGTGTTTTGCAACATGATGTATGTTGAATTTCACCTATTATGACAAGAAAAAGATTTAAATGTTAGGAAGAATTACATATTATAATACAAACAATCATAATTTAATAATAATATAAATTACCTAATAGGACAATCAATGGTAAGAAGACTCTTTGAATCAATTCTCAATTTTTCAACAAGCTCCTTGAATTTTTTAAGCCTACCAGGAGAAGATCTAACAAACTTGATTGCATGCCGAATAAGTTCAATAGATTGATTCATATCTTTAAGGCCTTCTGAAATGATTAAATTCAAAATATGAGCAGCACACTGTATCTGTAAGAATTCTCCATCACAAATTAGACCTCCTAAATCCTTCAAACGCTTCTTTAAAAATACAATGGCAGAATCATTAGAAGAAGCATTATCAACTGTAATTGCAAATACTTTCTCAATACCCCAATAGTATAAGCATCCCTCAATTTCATTGCCAATGGTGTCCCTTTTATGATTTTCTACCACACAAAAATTCAAAATTCATTTCTGTAATGTCCATTCTTCATCAATCCAATGAGCTGTCAAACACATGTAGTTAGAATTTTGAATTGAAGTCCAACAGTCTGTGGTGAGTGACACACGAACTTTAGATTTCTTAAAATACCTCTTCAAATGCCTTGCTTCTTCTAGATATATCTTGTAGCACAACTTAGCCATAGTGGTACGAGAAGGGCATGTAAATCTCGATTTAAGCACTTCCAACATTTTTTTAAAACCTTGCCCTTCCACAACTCGAAATGGCATCTCATCCAAAATAATGAATTCAGCAACTGCTTTTTTGCATCGTTCTGCATTATATGGTTGATGAGTCATTGATTTACCAAAAGAAGTAGAGAGTAAGGACTGTCCCGCCTTGGCTTTGTTTGGATTCTTTGGACAAGAATCAAAATGTCGCCAAAAGTTCTTAGTCTCAGTTTTAGAAGAATGGCCTGGAAAATCTTTTCCACAATAGTTGCATTTAGCTTGATGCTCACCTTTTTTATTTATAAATTTTTCATAATGATTCCACATTTCAGATGTTGCACTTCTTTTTCGTTTAGGAGGTGGAGCATCTTCAGCTTGGGAAGCTCTAGGTTCAATAGGTGCTGGTGGGATGGTGGGGGCATTGGGAGCTTTAGATTCATGTGCCCTTCCATAGCTTGCACATTTTCTATAATAACTTTAAAAGTAAAAACTATACAGCAACCAAACCAAATTAATCACAAACACATTTGGTATTAGGTACATCACATTAACCAAAATATCAACAAAATTATAAGTTTTCAATACTATAGAAAGGGGGTTACTAAATGCGAAAAAACATATAACGGAAATTGGTATGATCTAATAGATTAATATTGTAATATGAGGTCAATCAAACATGATCAAAAAAGAAAATAGAATCAACTTGCAATTGACCATTATTAATCTATACTAAGAGCTAAAATGTTGTACAGCTTTGCATGGAGGTTAAGAAACATGCTAATTTCTGAAGGCTGGTAATAATGATGTGAAAATTGGGTGAAGAACCTATAAAGTATAAACTTCGACAAAAGCAGTTACCAAGGAAGGGAAAAAACAAAATACTGGACATTCATTTTAAAGGCTGCTAAGTTCTATGAAATCAGATCCAAATACAGTAAATGAAAACACAATAGATCCATTTTGAAAAGCTCTCAACATTACATTCGCAAGTGAAAATCCGTTCCCCAAGCACTGCTCTGTTTTTAACTTAATGAAATAGAAATGAAACTAACTTGCTAAAATACTTGCCGAGGTCGATGCTAGAGGGGTGGTGTGTGCGTGCGTTTGCTAACTGGAGTGGAGCCGAGGTCGATGCTAAAGGTGGAGCATGCGTGCATCTGCTAATTGGAGTAGAGTCGAGTTTGACACTGGAGGTGGAAGATGGAGGAAGACGAACTGTGAGGCTGAAGGATGAAGATGGAGGCTCTCGCGCAAGCAACGACTCAAGCGAATAGGGAAGAAATTGAGTAGGGTGAAGATGGCGAATGAGTGAGCTAACTCAGCTAAGGCATGGGCGAACGGCAGCAACCTCACGAACACAAAGTCACAGTGAAGCTCACGCACATGGTCTCCTGAGCGTTTGGAATTGACAACATTAGGGTAGAGCCGTAGAGGACTCTTCTTCATCTCAACCTAGAATTTTTTTTTAAAAAAAGATAATCTATACGGGCGGCTACGGGCCACCCGGAGTCTAACCCGTTACCCACTCATATAGACATATACGGGTATATACCCGTTCATACCCGTTTTCCTTCCTCAATAAATGGGTATGGGTTGACCCGTTTATAAACAGGTCGGGTGAGTATGGACGGATATGCGGGTTTGCAGGTATATTGCACACTTCTAGCTAAAACTGATATACTTATGGGTTATTTGAAATGTTTGTCTTGTTTGCCCTACATGCACTATGCAGATAAATAAATGGGTTTGCATTTGGCGGTCATTTCAGAGTAAAATGAAAGGCCAAGATTTGGCCATGCATGAGGAGCACTTGGTGATGAGCACCAAATGCCAACGCGTAAATATATGTGCCCGACACTTTCCGGTATTGTAGCATTTTGGAATTCGTTGTCCTATCCTTGTATTCTCTCAGCTCATTTATTGGATGTCAGCCGCTCAGGTTGTGGGAACCATAACAATTTCTCCACACGTCTATAACACAGTCCTCGTCGTTTTTTTGTTTTTTTAATTTCCTTCATCCTCGCCCCTCTGCTCTGATGTTTCAACTTTAAAGCCTTCCCTCACGGTTTCCCACCCCACAAGTTGATGCTCCCTCCGTCTCCACTTATAAAAATTTTTTTAAAACGTTTTTTTTAATATCAAAGATTATTAACATATTTTTAATGAATAAATTATTATATTTTTATTAAGTTAAAAAAATAAATACTTTTATTAATTTATTTTAAACAAAAAATTTATTTTTTATTTATAATAATTAGAGGTAAAATTAAAATGTTATATTTTTAACTAAATAATTAATTTTTATTGGCTATTGTGATTTGATTAAAAATATTTTATCTAAATATTCAATTTTTATTGGCTATTATAATTTGATTAAAAATATTTTACACATAACAATGAAGAGAGTATCTAGTAATTGAGATTACCAACTTTCAAATCACTAATTCAATTACATTTGCTCAAAAAGCAAAGCCAGATCCCAATTTCATGCACAGATAGGAAGATAGAAGCAGAGGTGAAAGTGAGAGTATATCGGCTTTCATGTCTGCTACACTGACAACTTGTAATTAACTAAGGTGAAAGAACAGAAATGACCTGCAACTTCTTCTTGTTTTTTCTTATATTACTCTCTCTCTCTCTCTCTCTCTATTGGTCCACTATACAAGTCTTTTCATTTCTAGGACCCGTTTTACCTGTTTTACGAATGTACCATGACCTGGCCCCTCCATGACGGTTGCTTTTTAGTACCAACTGACACCTTGCCTTCTTTCTCATGCCATGACTTCACTGTTTTTCCCTAACACGGTCTGTTCATTAAAATAAAATGAATTTGGAAGAAGTCTCTCAAATGTCACAACCCTCTAGAGTGTGTGCATGGTCCTTCCCAACCAAACCTGGATCGTCCCCTATAAATTTTAGGGTTGGAACAGATGGAATAGATAGGGGAAAGTGAAGCCAAATATGGATTGGGATTGGAGCACAAGACCTTCTGTTGTTCCTCAAGCCGACTCTTCCTTTGGCTTCCCCTTGAACTCTAACTGCAGTACTCCACATCCAGGTAAAACACCAGTCTCTTCCTTCTAAAGCATTGTCCTTTATGTTCCATACACAACTGCACTTCTTTTCCTACTACTAGTTTTGAAACTTGAACAGTCATTAGAAGCCCAATCAATTCGTCCTGTTTTACTTCTTTTCTCCGTGTCACAAAATAGAGAGTCTTCTGATGTAATGTTTGAAAGGCACATTTGGGGTTCCAGCTTGATTCAATAATATTATTCAACTGTGTGTGTGTGTGTGTGTTGTATTGTCTTGTCTTGTCTTGAAGATCGATCTCATTCTTCACTGCGCAATATATGCTTGAATATTCAGGAACGGAAGTGAAACATCTAGCAATGACAGAGAGACAAGGGTTGGTTCCGGGTATGGACAAGGTCAACTACGAAAAGCAAGAACAGAAGAAGAAGAGATTGACAAGCAAGCAGCTTGAGTCTCTGGAGAAGAGTTTCGAGAAGGAGAAAAAGTTGGACACAGAAAGGAAGATGAAGCTTTCGAGGGAGATCGGGCTGCAGCCTCGCCAGGTTGCGGTTTGGTTCCAAAATAGGAGGGCTAGGTGGAAGGCAAAGCAGCTTGAGCACTTATACGAAGCCCTCAAACAGGACTTTGATGCCATCTTCAAGGAAAAACAGGAGCTTCAAGAAGAGGCATGACATGCAAACTTCATTAATTTACCTGTCTAGATAAAATGTTCATTTTTAATCTCGTGGCTTCTATGCAGGTTATGAGGTTAAAAGCTATGCTGAGAAACCTAGAATCCAGGACGCAGGCATCTGCAGATCATCAAGAAATCTGGGGAAGAAAGTAGAATGCATTGCTTCAAGCATAATTTATCATCCCAAATCTTGAGAGGGCACTAACCTGTCTTACCTATTAGTTTTAGCATATATAGGATTTAGTGAGGGGAGATGATTCTTAGGATCTTGAGTGGGTTATGACATTAAAAGATTTGCCCAGACGTGTTGGCACGATAGATGACTTGTTATGACAATTATGAGACAGCTAAAAAAGGGCATATTGCAGTAGTTTCCAGTGAAATTTTTTTTCATTCTTATTTTTCTGTTTCATAGATGAAGATCTAAAGGATGCCTGAAAGATTATATATTTCGAAAATTGGTTAATTAAGATCACGTTAACAATGGATTAAGTTTCTCTAATATATATTTCCGTAACTTCCACTTATGTAGAACCCTCATGAATAGAAGACTTTTTTCCTTCCTTTTCTCTCTACAATTGAAATAGTAACACTTCATCAATTTTTTACTAATTTGAGTTGACCTAAGTAATAGGAACTTTCATCACCCAAACAAGCAATTAATACAATTTGAATTTCAATATTTATATAGGCAACAATTTAGTTGCTATCATTTGTCTCAGTATCTAGAGGAAATGATTATGTTCTCAGCGAATCTACTCTATGTACTAACAAAAAAAATATAGTATACTTCAGGGTATTTAATAACACAATATTTTAAGCGGTCTTACTTCCTGTTTTTTTTTTTGGGCCAGAAGAGGTCTCATCTTCGTAGATTTGACCTATTTAAAGATGGAAATGGACATGCATACCTGGAACCATGGCCGCTGTTTGTTGCTGAATCTGCTCCGCGCTGAAAATCTTAAAACCAACGAGCTCGTGCCGCCATCTTTAACGGAGATGACGTCGTGCCGATGTATGAAAGGACAAAACGTTTCCTTTTTTTTTTTAGGGGGGGGGGGTAACAAAACTTTAAATTATCAAGACATCACATGAACGTCACCTAGCCCAAACAACCCATTCATGAGCTAGTAAGCTACTTTGGACCTAGCCAGCTTTGATATATAACCACCTGGATTGACACGTACAAGGAAGGAGAAGCCCATTAATTACCCGGAATGACAAATGGGGGCGTTCGATTGTGCAAGTGCAGTGACGTGTGGATGGGGCAACAAAAAGATTCATTTGGTCTTGGGCTTCTATGTCTGGGCCCAATGATAGAGGGCTTGGGCTTGTGGGTCATTTACAGTGTAGAATTGGGCTGTATGGAAGAAAGGGGTCTACAAGTTCACCGCCCAACTGTCCCATAGGAGTCATAAAGCACATAGGTTGGGCTTATGGGCTTGGGACATCCTTTGAGCGTCAATCATTCTGAATCTGTGTCTAACCGTCTAGGCGTCAATATGCTTGTACAGTATATTCTCTCAAGCAACTAATTTTTAAAGGAATAATGATAGAAAGGTCTTAAATGATTAATTAATTTAAATTAAATCTTAAGTATTAAATTTTAAAAATTTACAAGTTTAGCTCTCAATTTTACAATTTTATTATATTGAATTTATAATTTGTGTTTCAGAATTTAACAAGGAAAACAAAATTATTTATTCTTTATCCATGTTAAAATTTAAAAAATAAGTTATTAATTTATCAAAACAAAGTTTCAAATTTGAAAAATAAACTTATAAATTCTTAAAATTTGACACATAAAATTTAATTTAATTTAATTAATTATTTTAAAATCTATTTGTCATTCTCTCATTTCTAAATATAAAATGAATGATGACATTTCTCCTGACTTTGCAATGCGTGTTATAAAGGAGTTGAGTCCAATGTCATCCATCATACTCATACCCACCCTCTTTGATTTGTATTTTGTTTTAATTAATTACACTTCCTATTTTATTATAAAACAGCTCTAATCATGAATGAATAAGTGATGACTGAGTCATTAATTTTGTCTAAAAATAAAATAAACTTTTAATTTTACCCATACTTGAATGAAAAATTTTATTTTTGTGTTATATTCTCTCATATAATTAATAAAGTTAAATAAGAATAATATTAAAAAAAATATAATTATACCTCATCAAGTATACTTCTTCCAGGACTAAAAATTTGGCTAGAATACACCCTATAATAAGTATCCGGGCAGTGATCAATGACAATGCAATTGATTACATATTTAGGTCCATCAACTTAACAGACAGTGCTAGTGGCATAATGGATGTCTGTTGGGTGCCGTCCTCTCTCTCTCTCTCTCTCTCTCAGGCTCTCGCCGTATCTCGTGCTATTTGATCATTTCATATGTTAGCAGTGCTTGTATATGGTTATGTTTCACAAAAAAACTTTGGGCTTGAGCATGCCATATTGCCATTCAATACAATACATCGAAGCCCCTTTCATCCACGTGTTGAATCCTAAATCAAATCCATCTTGAATGCATCTTGAATCTAATTAGATCGCAGCCTTACAGATTTAAAATAACTAATAAGTGTTGCTATTTATTTATGCCTGCTAAGTTATTAAAAGACTAATTTAATTTTAATTTAATGTTTTCATATAAATCATCAAATATTTTTTCTGTACTATTTTAATTTTAATTTAATGTTTTCATATAAATCATCAAATATTTTTTCTGTTTTTCTCCCAAATTTTGTTTCCCATGAAAGAGAATGCATCATATTCGACTGTTTTAAAAAAATCCATGTTTTTTGATAAAAGTAAAGTTAAAATATTTTTTTAATTTTAGTAAAGTGATTGAAAATGACCTATAGTCATGATAAAGACTAAAAGCGTGGAGATTTAAAAAAAAAAAAAAACAAAGGCGAAGAAATTGGTATCTGGAGATAGGATCAACGCATTAGGCCGACGCCTGCGTTCTGAATCACACGGGACATCTGAATGACGCCATTTCTGACCAATAGAAACATGACAAGCAAGAGGTAGTCTGGCATAGTCATCTCTCTATAAAATCAACGCGCATCTCAAACAGTGAAATCAAACACCGCCAAAACTCAAAAATTAAACTCGCCAGATGCCCATAAACTAATCTATATTCCCCGTCAGAAGTTAACTGATTTATTACAAATATTTAAAAATAATAAAATGTTATCTGTGATTCAAGATAATTAATCTCCTGATCCTCAAATATTCTTCCTGCCTTTCATGACCTGCATCAAATTAAATATTAATTATTAATTACTCATGTGATTGATATTCCTTCCAATTTTTTTGATGGAATGGAAAGAGAATTTTTTTTATCTCATTTATAAATTATATTATTAATTTTTTATCATAATTTTTTATCTTTCATTAAATATTAAAAAATGAGTATATTATAAAAAATATATATTTAATAAAAATAAAATTAAGAATTTTTTAAATTTTTAAATAAAATTAATAAAATTTAAAATTTTTTATATTAATAAATATATTAAAAGTGATTTATAAATAAAATTAAGATAATAATATATAGAATATATCGGCATGTTTATGTTCACCACCAGGTACACTTGTCACTTGATTATTGAGCTAAACACAAGTTCATGATTTTCACGTAAAGATTGATAAGTCCGGGTTGAATTATAGAATAATCTTTTTTTTTGGATACTTATAGAATAATCTTTTTATATACTAATATATGTCGATTTCATTATATTCGTTTTCTAAGTCGTTGCACATACATTAAAAAATGTAATAAATATGTAAAAGTATGGTATATTTTACTAAATTTAGCTCTTACTTGATACTTCTAAATTCTTATAAAAAACACTGTAATATAAAATAATAAATTGCTTCCAGAGTAAAATAAAGATAATTTTTAACACTGCTCTGAAATTCTAAATCATATGTACTATGAAACAATTTTTTTCAAAAAAAAAAGGAGATCATAATTTTTAATCTTTATAATTTTATTGAGTTTTGCTTTTAATTTCTATAATTTTTTTAATATTTTCAGTCCTTATAATTTTAGAAGGATTGAGTAACTTTTATTTTTAAAGTCCCTATAATTTTTACTTCTTCAATAATTTTAGTCTCTATAGAAATTGAAAAAAACTACAAAAGATAAAAGCAAAACCTGATCAAACTATAGGATTAAAGATTATGTTTTTTAAAAAAAATAATTATAATGAAACGGAAGATAAAAGGGTTTAGAAAACTTCAATTCAATATATTTGAACCAAACGGGCAGTAAAGTATTCCCCCAAAGCAACAATGATTGAGGGTTGTTTAAGGTCCCGATCTGAATTTTGTTGTTCCATCGCAAACATCATTACTCAAACCATGTTATTAGGAATTTTTAATTATCAATTATTCGGACGAGAAAGTCTCCCTTTCCAATATATATAAAACATTCCTAACACGCCAAATCTACCTCCTTCGTATAAAATTCTTATACACTGATATATCATCGTGCAAATAATTAAGACATCGATTTCTAATAAAGATGCGTGTATCATTACGCTAATATGTAAATTTATTCATCGAATTCTCCTTCATTTACATTCATACAAAATGTCTTCTTCCCAGATTCGTTGTCAAATGACAAAATCAAGTGTATTTTTTTTGTGGACTGAATATTTCATCGGTGAAGAATGCAAGCACCATTCAAAATGTAATAATTTCAATCGGTCAAATCACTTATCTTGATTAAATATCCACATGATTGCTAACGACAGGGTGCTTCATGTGAGAGGCCAGTGTAAGGCCGACCAACATCGAGAATCCCATGTGAATTCGTGATGCGAATTAAAAGACACATATTCTGTTGCGAGCCATCCCCGATTAATTTCATTTCTTCAATAATGTCATATTCACGAGGGTTTAATTTCCAGTATATCATTGTCGATAATTGTATTAAATAAATTAATGACTTATTTTACAGATTTCATGTCTTGAGAGACTTGATTCCGCATTTGAAATATAAAGATAAAAACACTCTTTATGAAACTGTTCATTAAGACAAATAAAACTCCATCCATGTTTTAGAGGTGACCCTAAGTCCAAATCAAAGATAAGCTTGTATCAAGCCTTAAGTAGACCACCAATGTAAAAAATAATGTTGAGACTTACATGACATAAACATCCAGGATGAGTGAAGTGTCAAATGCGTTGAAGCCATGCATCCAGCGCCCAGGCGTAATGTTTGAATGATCAGGAATTTTCACACTCATTCGGAGGAACGTGGGTAAAGAAATTAGTCCAAAGAACAGTATCAGGTTTGAAACTCGTTATATTGGCACTCTAACAAGTAAATTTAGAGAGTTGACATCGCACCACTTCAAGAAGCTATGGAGTGGAGAAAAGCCTAAAGAGTTTGACTATAAAATTTGAATTTTGGTACACAAGGTAGGTCTACACAAAGAATTGGTTTGATATTACTTTGTAGACAAGAATACGGTCGAAAGAAAAATAAGGTGGAAATACAAAAAGAATCGAGGGGTAATATCAATTCCCTGCAATTGATTATTCGGAACAGTCTGCTCCATGATTAAGGAAAAGTTGTGAGAAGGTTTAACTTCTTTTTTTTATGAGGAGAAAAATATGGAAAAAGGAAAACTAAGAAAATTTTTTAAAGAATAATAATTATTTTTTACTATTTTTGAAAAATTATTTCTTAGTTTTTTCTCCCCCATCTTCTTCAACTGATTGATCAGGCAAAAGGAGAAAAAACAGAGTAACAAATGAGAGCATTGTATTGGAATCTCGCTGTTACTATAAGAATCTTATTAATTGACATTTTTTAAGTATCTTCTGACTGGGAAGACTACCAATTGGCCCTGCCTACTTTTGAAGTATTAACATAAGAATCTTATCAATTCCTAAAGGCCAAACGGTGAATTTGACCACACGTACGTACAAACTCGTAATTGGCCCTGCGCTGCTCATTTCCTTGCTGTCCCTGCTGTCTTCCTTTAGGAGTTGGGACAAAACAAATGTTCTGTTTTCTGGAATCAAAATAATTTAATTTAATGCACAGATAGAAGTTATCCCCTGATCCCAGACGCCACACCATGCGATTCTCTTCTCAGTCTCATCCCCACACCCTTTGCATCGGAGAGGTGGTGGGCTCAATTTCAATTCCCCACAGGCTGGTTTACCCTCCTTCTCCTTCCAAGAAAAAAAAAATATTTTCCTTTCCCATGATCTCCTTAATCAATCCAAAGTTCCAAACCCAAGGTCAGCTCCTAAAGAAATACCCGAAAATCTAATGCTATGCTTAATAGAAAAAATATTAAAAAAATAAATGAGAAATGCACCTATTTTAGTATTAAATAAGAAAGGCCCTTTATACTGTTGCCACATAAGTACTACAAAATTATCAAACATTTTGCATGACATGTATACTTTTTAGGCATAATCATCTGTTGTTTGAAATAAGCAAGCCCATTGCATTTGTACATCATATTATTAATTTTCTTTATCATAACTCTTAAGCTGGAAACAAACAGAATACATGAATGGGGAAGGTGGTAGCCAGTAGCTAACACTCGACCACAAAACTAATCTCCACTCCCAAGGTATAATCTGACCTTATTAATTGGGTGCAAGCAGGGGTTTCCATGCTGGTCAATTAGGCACTGACCAACAATCTTACCTGACGCTCACTCTACAAACTAAAATTTTCACACAAAGGAAGGCGCATAATGCAGCCTTATTGCTTGGATGCAATCAAGAAGCTTCCATGATGGTCAATTCGGAGTTGACCAACAATCCTATTCTAACACTTAATCTATCAACTAATTTTCACACAGGTGAGGGCCCAATGTAGCCTTTATGACTTACGACTTGCATGTAATCAAGGATCTTCCATGATGGTCAGCTAGTTGTTGACCAACATCATCAAATGCTCCTATCTTTACCTGAATTTGCAAGATCTTTGCTATACCTTCTTCATTTCTTTTAAATCATTGGCTGCTACAGAACCCTAAAAATCCCATAAATTCATGGTTGTGTATCATTCGAATGCTCTTCTCAGTGCCAACCACGCCTAAAACAGAAAAAAAAAGGGGGGGGGTGTTCCAATTCAGTATACGTTGAGACATTTCAGAAATATTCGAGAAAGAGCTTTGTTTGTTTGCATTACCCATGGTGATGGCGCTAGCAAAAATGACGCCTGAGAGAATGAATATGATGATGGATGCCCTCCTAAGAATTGCTATCAATTTTCTTACCACGAATTGTCCCCAGAAGCCAGCCAAAATAGACACTGACGTCAGGTATAACGCTGCCAAACATATACAGAGAGACGATAAGGCTGGAGAATATATATCTATATACACCTAAAAAATTAATCCGATCTGTGAGAGTTGAACTCTCCACAGTATAATTCTAACATCAATATTGAATTTATATATTAGACTTTGGAAAAAATCAACATACATCAGTATGTGTCCGCGTGCAATCAGTACGTTACCGTAGATTGAAAATTGAATGTAAATTACCATTGTCATTCTTTGGGCCAAGCAAAGTTGAGAGTTGAATGTAAATTACCGTAGGGAATGGGGAACCTCTTGAGAAGGTCAAATTCCACCACCGATAAAGATGAAGAGAACATCATGACAAATGTTGCTGTTGCACTAGCAACCTGCAATATAGTCATATAGATACAGTATAACCCTCAGTCGATCAATCTAATAGCCTGAGAACAGCCTGAAGCTAGACAGTAAACGGAAATTGAAAGGCATGTGAACACCCCCCCCCGCCGGGGGGTTTTTTTTTTCCATCGCACCTGGGGAATGACGCCAATCTCGAGAAGAAGAGGTCCCAAAACGAAGCCACCTCCAGAACCAAGAAGGCCTCCAACGGTTCCCCCTAAGATGCCACACAGTGCGCAAAACGCAAGGTTAAGAGCAGTCCATTCTATTGAAGCCTGACACATGGATTCCTGGTTGCCTGTGGTCATCCTGTGTCTGTGATCCTTGTACAGCTTGATTGCTTCATACCCAAACACCACAAGTGCTATAGGAAACTGTAGTATCAAAGAGAAAAAAAGTTATCAATAATTTTGGCTCAATACCCCACAACCTGCTACGTCAAATATTACTAGTGTGAGCGTTGAATCTGATATGTCACCTAACCTGTAGGCAGAAAAGCACCCAGTACCATGTACTGCACACCTTCAGTTCATTCTGCAAAGCAGGACCAACACCAAAAATATATATTCAAAAGTGATAGCACAAATGTAAACTTGAACGTTGTATGTGAACATGAGAGAGAGGCTTGCCTTGATGACTTGAAGTAGTAGGAAAGAAACCCACACAATCATTAGCACCAAAATCCTTTTCCACCTAAGGTTGAAGCAAAGAATTTGCTGAAGAATTTAGGTAAACAATGAGTAAAATTAACAATAAGTTTATCCCGCCTATAAATTAGCAAGTAAAAAAAAAAATAGAAGAGTGCTTTAAGAAATTACATACCATAGGTGATTTCTCTTCTTTAGGTATCAACGGTTCATATTCTGTATCGATTAGAACTGCATGTATTTCAAGACTTACGTCACTGTCACTTTAAGATCAGAGAAAAATATTAAGGCACATGACAAACTGCAGCATACATGAGAGGGCTACTGTGCCAAAGAGTAATTATATATACTATAATAATTACAGCAACTTTTTCCATTTTATTTTACTTCAATGATTGGTTTGGTGAGACACTGTTTTGTGGGGTCCTAGAGGATACATTAAACAAGTCCGAAAATGAGTCCTAATCGTAGCTGTAAGTTGAGATACGGCTGTCTTACGTTCTCCACGGGAATTCACCACAGTTGCTTGTTGCTTGGCAATTTCTTTCTGCAGTGAGGGGAAAAAATCCAGAAGAGACGCGGATGAGTTGCCGTCACTTAAAGCTTCTGTCACACACACACATGCTCTACATGGATGCTATAATATTCGTATACTATAATATTCACAATCTGACATGATACAAAGAACTGGCCTTCTTTTGGGGAAACACTAACCTTCAGAATAGTCTCTTCCTTCCACATCTCGATTCCCTTAAAGAAAGATCTAGATGAAGTTCCTGCGGCCACAATAAAATTAAAAAAAAAAATACCGGGTAAGCAGCAGAGATTGTGAGGCTGAAAACCAGTCCAATTCAAAGCATGTGAAGAGTTGTCCGAGTAATAACAAAATCGGCTAGAGACCTATGAAGAGAATAATGATGAGAACAGTGATAAGCCAATAGGGGAAGACAACGCTGAGGGCGACCCCTACGGTGATTCCAAGCATAAGCATGGGCTGGAATAAAAGGGCCAGGTCATAGTCTAAAATGGGCACTTCTTTCGTCGGATGCGGCACTCTCAGATTATACCAAACTGATGACGCCGATGCCCCCATTATCATACCTGCAACAAATGCAACGGCAAAATTAGTCACAATCCAAAGCACCAACTTCAAAACAAGCAACAGATTAGCTCGAGAGCGTTAAAATCAGGCTAAATAGTACGGATTTTTTAAAAGGGCAGTAGAAACGTCATCTCCAAGAAAATGGTGAGAAAAAAAAATTGAGTAATCGTTCGTCCGCCGTTTCTAGAAAAAATAGCTTGTCTTCTTCAGCATTAACAAAGGACAGAGAAAAGAGAAATGCAAAACAGAATTACAGAGACACACAAAGAAGAGCAGAAGAATGAAATTAACATTTAGAGAGAGCAGCAGCCGATTTGGTATCGAAGCCAAGAAGCAAAGTGAGCATGGGAACGAAAATGCCTCCCCCGCCCACGCCACCGACCGTTCCACATGCCGATCCTACGAACCCAATTACCGTTGCCAACACGACCCTCCAACTGGCCTTCAATTCCTGCATCCACAAGAACAAATTAATCAACACTCGTATATTAATATATATGCATATAGTCTTGAAGTTTACATATCGCCAGAATAATTATCTAGCTATGAGGAGAGAAAGAGGGGCGTACGGGCCAAACTCTGTCGTGTTCGGATCCGTAACACGCATGGGATTGAAATGGGAGGGAATTAGAGGAAGAAAGAGATGAGGATGATGGGAAATATGGTGGATAGATGAGGATAAACGCAGAGAGGATGGCAGCAGAGAAGGCAGAAAGAAGGTAAAAGACGAATCTTCTTGTGGCGACGGGCATGGCGACCAATGGTTGCGGCGAAGAATGATTTCCGGAGAATATAGAGCGGCTATCTATTCGGGCCAAATGCTATTTAACAGCGACGAAACTGCTTCTCCCTCACATGCATCTCTCTCACGGGTTTTTTATTTTTTCACGGCTCATATCATACCAATCCCAGATGGTGGCCAAAAACAAATGCCAATCCTCAATGACTACGAGATGCAGGCAACGTGGCGTTGTGTTGTTGGATAAACACAAACTCAATGACTCCACTGGTGAAATTTGTTAATAAATCAGAATTATTATTATTATTATTATTATTGAAAATTTTTATACCTAAAATTTTATGAAGGCTTTGGTTGTCACTTTCTTGAAAAAATGACAACAAATATTTCAAAATGTATAAATAATAATTAAATATCATAAAATGTGTTAATTATTATTTAATTCTTAAGCATTGATTTGTTATTTTGATCTTTAACGAAATATTTCAGTTACCCTTAATAACTATTATACTTTGAAAAATGACTACTTTAATTTAGCTATCCACTAACATGAGAGAAAAAAAGACTTTATTTTTGCAAATTTATTTATTAATCAGGTGCGGTTAAAATAGTCATTTTTGGAAAAGCAACGTTCATTTTTTAATCTGTTTATAAATCATAAATTGGCAAAAAAAAAAGTTATTTTTTATTCTATTTTAGTTAACAGCTCGATCAAAGTAGTCATATAATATTCACTAATGTTTAATACAGGGCACTTAATTGATAAATAAATTTGCAAAAAGAAGATGGTTATTTTCTATGTCATTTTAATCAATAGCCTAACTAAAGTAATCATTCTTTAATGCATAATAGTCACTTAGGGTGGATATGTCATTTAGTTAAGAATCAAAATACCACACAAATCTCTAAAAAATAAATAATAATTATCACATTTCACAATACTTGATTTTTATTTATGCTTTGGAAAGTATTTTTTGCCAATTCTCCCCACTTTCTTTACGCTCAGCCAATGTATATTATTTTTTTAGGTTAAAGTATACTTTTAATTTTTTTAATTTTACATAATGTTTTAATTTGATCCTTTAATTTTTATAAAATATCTTTTTAATTTTTTGAACTTAATATCATTAATTTTAAATAACTGCAATCATTGTTGTTTTAGAAAATCAAAACATGAAACAAATGACTACTTCATTTCTATAAATTTGTTCATTAATCAAGTGCAATTAAAATAGTTATTTTTAGAAAGGAAGTATTCATTTTCTAATATATTTATAATTTATAAATCACAGATTCGTAGAAAATAAAAAGTCATCTTATACTCTATATTAGCCAAGAGCTCAACAAAAGTAGTCATATAATAGCCAGCAACCTTTAATACTTGCACTTAACTCGTAAATAAATTTGTAAAAAAAAAAAAATTATGTTCTGTTTTGTTTTAATCAATAGCATGACCAAAACAGTCATTCCATAACGCATAATAATCACTAGGGGCAAATACGTTATTTTGTTAAAAAAAATCAAAATATCAAACAAATCCTTAAAGACTAAATAATAATTATATCATATTTAACAATACTTAATTGCCATTTATATTTTAGGTAGTATTTTTTGTCAATTCTCCCCACTTTTTTTTGCACCCAGCCAATGTCATTTTTTTAATGCTAAACTGTGCTTTTTGTCATTTAATTTTATATAATTTCAGTTTGATCCCTTAATTTTTTTTAAAAGTATTTTTTTAGTCATTTAAACCTAATTCCATCAGTTTTAAATGATTATTTCATAAATCAACCATTGTTATTTTATAAAATTTAACTTAACATATTAACATTTAATAATGTTTTGTTAATGTTTAAAAATTCAATGTAGGACTATCTTTTTTTGGATGAAACTAACCAGTTTTTGAGTTTAAAAGATTGAAGAAGTATTTTATAAAATTAAGACACTAAAATAAAACTTTGTATAACATTAAAGAATTAAAGGTGCATTTTAGCTTATTTTTTAATTTCCATCCCTTATGAAATCTGAAAAAGTGAAGAGAATCCAAATTTAACACAAGGCTTGTTTGGTTTTGTTCTCAATTTTTGTTTTTAAAAACTATATTTTATAACATAGTTTTTAGAATTGTTCTTCAAAACGAAACAAGTTGTAAATTTATTTAGTTATGTTAATTTAAAATTATTTTTATAATTAAAAAATAAACTAATAGTGATGGTTGGAGTTAATTAATAATGATAATTTATGATAAAAATCAGTCAAATTAATTGTAATTTTTAATAAATAAATATTGTACATTTTGAAAATAATGAAAAAACGAAAATAATTTAAAGTTCTTTCTATTTTTTTAATAAAAGCAGTTTTAAAAACAATTAAATCCAAAACATATATGCAGATAATTTTTTTATTCTCAAAAATAAAGAACAGTTTTCAGAATCAGAACACAGACAATATTGGTTTCACAATTCACACTTTCACTCGTGATTCGAAGAATCGGGAAAAATTATTCACCACCGTTTCTCTTCATGATGAATTCAAGTCAGTGTTGTTTCCTTTCTCCATATAAAATTGTTTCATCCACGTGCTTCCCACCGTTGGTCTTCGCGAATTTAACGCTGATTTGATCTTAGCACTATTTCTGTTCTCGAGCATTGTTTCAATTTCTAATTCAGGAATACCAATGTCGCTATTGCATACATCTATTGTACTTCATTTTGCTCTCATTTTCTTGTTTAATTAAAAAAATATTGAAGGAGAAAAGTGAGAGAAAAAAAAAACTGTCTTATAGAAAAGGCAAGCTGTCATTTGACACCCTAAGTTATTATTATTATTATTATTATTATTATTATTATTTTACTTTGGGATTATCCTTAATAGACAGCTTTCATTCTCAAATCTTTCGCCACCATTCCTTCTTTGTTTTGCATCAGCCAATCAAGAATCAACTACTGTGAGGATGGTAGTCAACAGTTCCCTTTGAGAGCCACCTCACTTGATCCCAGATATAATGAGGGTATGAGACAACCATGGAGGGAGAGAGGGAGAGAGAGAATTGTCGACATGCTAATAATGATGGCACAGTTCTTTTTAAGCAGGAAGTTAACATTATTGATGTTAATGGGCAAGGACAAGCCTTGCAAAAACGCTATGTTCCCGGCTAGACTTTGGATCGATTGAACAATATTCAAATGTCAAGGCAATATTTATAAGCTGCCTTGTTTATAAACAAGTTACGAACAATTATCTTTATAAACAAGGCAGCTTACTTCAAACTCTGTGATCAGTGCAGATATAGATTGAAATCTTGCTCACTTTAAATAACAGGAGATAGTTTATTTTGTCAAGCTGTTGCATTGGAAGGTGAGTGCGGGTATCATAATTTGGTGAGGGACCCAGGTATGGAAAACACAAGTGGCAGGACCAACCAAAAAAAAAAAAAAAAAACACTCCGTCATAACAACCAGAGAGAAAGTTGTGAGTTAAACTCATAAAGAAAGTGATTTTGGTTTTTTTTTTTTTAAGATATTCAAGTATAAGTGAATTTGAGTTGATAATACATGAAGTTATAAAATTAAATTTAATAATCTATACAATAAAATAGAAAATCTCATAAACTATGATTTTAATGTTGAGTCAAAATGCCGCTATTTCATCATTAAAACTTCAGGAAAAATTTATTGTTTAATTCTTATAGTTTTAACTCAATTATAATTCAATCCTTGAATTTTGACTCATTATAATCTAATTCATGAAGTTTTGATTTGGTTATAAATCAGTCCCTAAACTTTATCTCTTGTAATTTAGTCCTTAAAGTTTCAATCTCTTAAATATTGGTCCCTATATTTTAAAAAAATAAAATTATAAAAATTAAAAATATTTTAAAATTTATCACTAATATCTTAAATTACTAAACCATTTTAATATTTATAAATATTAAAAGTTCAAAATATTTTTAATATTTTTAATTTTATTTTTTAAAATATAGATAATAATATTTAAGAGGTTAAAATTTTAGAGACTAAATTGTAAAAGGTAAAGTTCAGAGACTGATTTACAATCGAGTCAAAATTTTAAAAACTGAGTTATAATAAATTAAAATTTAAAAACTGAATTATAACTAAGTTAAAAATTATAAACATCAAATAATTAATTTTTCAAAACTTTATCATCGATCTATTTGTTGTCTCATTTGTTTTGGGCTTTGCTCTTCGTTTAGTCGGGACCTGTGCGAAAAAAGATGCCATTAAAAACTCTCAATCCATGTTACATTTAAAATCCAAAATAAAATTGGTCATGGTAGAAGCAGCCGACGCTTGATTGTACCACAAAAAAATATAGGGACTACGCTTAATATTCAAATGTAAATAGAAATGAAGACAAAATATTTTTATATTATGTTTAGATATACATAAATTTAAATTCAAGTCAAATTTTTCGTGCGGGCACTTAAAAATTAATGAATTTGGATTTATCTATATTTGTATGAACTTGAAATACATGATTTTTTTTTGAAATGAGATATTTTAAATCTAAATTTTAAATTCAAATTCATTAATCCAAATAATACCTTAGGCAGCATGTGGATTGATAGGTTTAGATTTAAATTTTAGATTTAAAATATTGTATTTCAAATATAACATTTAAAATTTATTTATCTAAAAATATTTATTTAAAAAGTTTAAAAAAATTTAAATGAATAAGAGATACATTAAGATTCAAATTAAAAATGATAAGTTTATTTTTATTTTTTAATCAATAAATGACAAGAAAAGATATTAGAGTAGTTAAGGTATTAATAATAAAAACATAAAGACAACAAGATATTAAAAGTGATTAAAATTTTAAAAATGAATAGGATGTAGGGAAATTTTAAAATTTAAAAAATTATAATTAAAAAAGAATTTTTATAAATTTTTATACATTTCAAATGAATGATTTGATATAGGTTCTTGTCAATGGGAACACAATATTAAATTAGTTGGTTGAATAACTGTTTGTTGTCAAAAAGATGGCCATATAAATTAAGATTGCAAGCGGGACGCAATGAGCCTTGATTAATTGATCACGATATGGATTATATCTGTGAGTTGTTTGTCGCCTA